ATAGTTAGTTTTAAAGTATCTCCCTCCAAAAATTGGCCAAGCACAATGGCTCATGCCTGTAATCCCAGCACTGTGGGAGGCTGTGGTGGGTGGCCTCTTATTAATTATGAGCCTTTTCTCTTATTAATTATAAAGAGAAAAAGTAACCTCACAGTGGAAAAGCTTGGCAGACACAACCTCATCAAGTGATCAAAGTCAACTTCATTAGTTCCTTCGGGCTGATTTCTGCATCCTTTTAACTACCGTGCTTTGAAAATAGGCCAGGTGTGGTGGCTCATGCCTGTAATCCTAGCACTGTGGGAGGTGAGGCAGACTAATTGCCTGAGCTCAGGAGATCGATACTAGCCTGGGCAACATGGCAAAACCCCATCTCTACTAAAAATACAAAAAAAAAAAAAAAATTAGCTGGGCGTGGTGGCACCACCTGTAATCCCAGCTATTCAGGAGGCTGAGGCACAAGGATTGCTTGAACCTGGGAGGCAGAGGTTGCAGTGAGCCGAGATCATACTATTGGACTCCAACCTGGGCAACACAGCAAGACTCTGTCTCCAAAAAAAAGAAAGAAAGAAAGAAAGAAAATAATAAACACACTGTATGTTAAAATAACATTTTTATGAAAAGCAACTGTTTTTCAAAATAAAATAATACATGAAAAGAGTGGTATTGTTTTATATTTTTGCAAATCTCTTTAATATCTGGCTTAATAGAAAGCAGCAAGATTCTCATATCTGCTTCATATATACCCATCGTCACACAGATATGTATTTGGAAATGAAAGAGTCTTCTTTGATATGGCATCGAAATTCACTAAGTGGTAATTTGTTTGTTTACTTTAGAGACAGGGTCTTGCTGTCCCCCAGGCTGAAGTTCAGTGGCTATTCACAGGCACGATCATAGCAACAACCTCAAATTCCTGGGCTCAAGTGATCCTCCTGCCTCAGCCTCTCAAATAGCTGAGACTACAGGTAGGCACCACCACACCCGGCTCAACAAGTGGTAGTTTCTTAAAAGTTCATTGCAATGTGGAATCTGAACCATATGAGTAATCACTTCATACTCTATTATGTGAAAATCCATTGGCCCATCTTGAACTTTGAATGATCTTTCACCCATGCATGATTTTATAATAGCACGCATAGGTCATTTGGAAACTATTGATTCACTGAATCATACTGGTCTTCTAAATGTTGACACAGTATGCAATATTTTAAAAATCACATTTGTTAACATCCGAGTTCATTAGGAAAATCTTTCAGAATTAAATGATGTCAAGCTCATCATGATGGCAGTGATTGCATCACTGCACTCTAGCCTGGGTGACAGAGTGAGGACTTGTCTCAAAAAAAAAAAAAAAAAAAAAAAAAAGGGGAGAGAGAAAGACCCATCTGTCCATCTGTAATTCAACCCCTCGGAGTGCCCTGATAGAGTCTCGCACTGTCTCTCAGGCTGGAGTGCAGTAGTGCGATCTCGGGTCACTGCAACCTCTGCCTCCCAGGTTCAAGTGATTCTCCTGCCTCAGTCTCTTGAATAGCTGGGATTACAGGCATGTGTTTTTGCAGTAGACCAATTCAGGTGCATGTACTTTATACACATAACATGATTAATGTTTCAATGGTCATATATCTAATTTACAAGAAATAGCACTGTTTCCTTACTTATGGGGAAAAATAAGTAAATATCAGGTATTTGCTGTTATGGCAATAGAGAATAAGCCCAAATACTAGTAATTTGCACAGAGAGACCAGTGATTGCTATTATTCGTGTCCAAGACAAAAATTAAAGGCAATCAAGGGAGTGACTCCTTCCTAGTTACACTGTCTCTTTTTTGTTTTGTTTTGTGTGTGTTTTTTTTTTTTTTTTTTTTTTTTTGAGATGGAGTCTCGCTTTGTCACCCAGGCTAGAGTGCAGTGGCCGGATCTCAGCTCACTGCAAGCTCCGCCTCCCAGGTTCACGTTTTTTTTTTTTTTGAGACGGAGTCTCGCTCTGTCGCCCAGGCTGGAGTGCAGTGGCGCGATCCTGGCTCACTGCAAGTTCCGCCACCTCCCGGGTTCAAGCCATTCTCCTGCCTCAGCCTCCCTAGAAGCTGGGACTACAGGCGCCCGCCACCACACCTGGCTAATTTTTTTGTATTTTTAGTAGAGACAGAGTTTCACCGTGTTCACCAGGATGGTCTTGATCTCCTGACCTCGTGATCCGCCCACCTCGGCCTCCCAAAGTGCTGGGATTACAGGCTTGAGCCACCGCGCCCGGCCTACATTGTCTCTTATTTGCCAGAGAGGTAGATCTTGAATTACAAAGTGCTTTATCTCCTCATCACTCTGGATTCAACTGTAGTATTGAGTGTACATATTCAACAAAAGCCTATGACGCACTGACATGGGAACTTACCACAGTGCTTGTAGGACCATTATATAGGTAAAACAGATTTTGAGTCTGCAGATATTTAATAAGATTATCACAAAAAGTTCCATTACATCTTTAAATATATAAATACTGATACCACATTTACAAATAATGAATGGACATTTTTATATAAGAGGTAATATTGAAATGACCTAACATCTAGGAAGAAAATAGTTTAAAAGTATCTTCAACAGTAAACAAAAATTTGAGATCTAGCTTATCCTGGCTTTTATACTTGCTGTGATGAACTAGCACACAGTCTTTAATGCCTATGGAGTGTTGGCTTTTTTCACCTGCAGAGTGTTACAAAATTTCAAAGATGTGACCTGTATTTCTTCTAAAATAAAATTTTGATCATTCACAATGACAGTTTAGAGAGCTTTTAAGGATCTGGTTTTGTTTCGTTTTGGAGTTTTTAGTAAGCATACATTTTGCAAATCAGTAAACACAACACACAAAAAAGTAATGTGTACTGCCTATCCCCAGAATAGAACTACTATCATTGAAAATTGCTTCTGGCCGGGCGCGGTGTCTCACACCTGTAATCCCAGAACTTTGGGAGGCCAAGGCGGGTGGATCACCTGAGGTCAGGAGTTTGAGACCAGCCTGGCCAACATGGTGAAACCTCGTCTCTACTAAAAATACAAAAAAATAGCTGTGCGTAGTGGCAGGAGCCTGTAATTACAGCTACTCAGGAGGCTGAGGCAGGAGAATCGCTTGAACCTAGGAGGCGGAGGCTGCAGTGATCCAAGATGGCGCCACTGCACTGCAGCCTGGGCGACAACTCTGTCTTTTTTTTTTTTTTTTTTTTTTAAGTGCCCAGCACTGTGGCTCACGCCTGTAATCCCAGCACTTTCGGAGGCCGAGGCGGGCGGATCACGAGATCAGGAGATGGAGACCATCCTGGCTAACACGGTGAAACCCCGTCTCTACTAAAAATACAAAAAAATTAGCTGGGAGTGGTGGCGGGCGGGCGCCTGTAGTCCCAGCTACTCAGGAGGCTGAGGCGGGAGAATGGCGTGAACCCGGGAGGAGGAGCTTGCAGTGAGCGGAGATAGCGCCACTGTACTCCAGCCTGGGCGACAGAGCGAGACTCCGTCTCAAAAAAAAAAAAAAAAAAAAAAAAAAAGAAAAAGAAAAAAAGAAAAAAGAAAAGAAAATTGCTTCTGTGACAACAACTTGAATACTAAAAGTTGGTCCCTGGTTCCAATGGTTGAAGGCACCTTAATAGTTAAATGTCATCATACAGTTTAACCAGGTAGCTGTTAAAACAGATAACCCAAATAAACAATAACACGGCATTTGGCTGACCACCCTTTAAAACCTCTGAGGCTTTTCATGAGTGGGAAGGCTAGAATACTACTGAAGTCACTCATTAGACTAACAAAATTACATAGAAGAATGATAATGTATTTCCGTATTTATATTTCAAAACCTTATTCCTTGGCCAATACTTGTTAGTAAAGTGATTATGGTACGAAACCAAGTTTTAGACTGTAAACTCCTAGAAATTATCATTTCAAGTGTGTATTAAATTTCAAGCAAATTTTAAACCAGTTTAAGATTCATCCTTAAAGAACAGTTAAAACTGATTGAAAATAATCCAATTTCACCGCACTTTATACATCATACCTGAAATGCAATGAAGACACAATATTATACAATAATGAAGAAGCAAAGATTTGGCCTCTTATCTGGGAAATCAGAGGGTGGACTACCTGGGCTCCTTTTAGCAAAACACTTTTCCAAAAGAAATTTATTTTTGTTTTCTTTAAACAATACTGTCCTGTCCTAAAATAAATCATTTCTAGTCTTTTGAAAATCCACATGTCTTTGCGTGTTTATTTATTTATTTTTAAATTTTTTATTTTTTGCAGTGCTAAAAAAAAAAAAACAAAACAAAAAAAAAACAAACAAACAAAAAAAAAAAGATGCAAGGTTTCCAGCCCTGGGGACCAGGACGCTCTAGCTCCTGTCTCAGTTCAGCCCTAGCTCTAATTGTGACCTTGGGAAATGTCCCTGGCTCGGAGGACTCGGTTTCCCTCTCTTCTCAATTATAAGTGCTTGGAACATGGGGGTGGGACGGGCCCCCAGCACCGCAGACAAGGGGCTACAGCTTGTCCAGTTTCACGCAAATCCCCAGCCCTCCTCGTCGCCTCGGCTCTTCCCATCCACTCAGCCACTGGCTCGCTCGGAGCAGTGTGTTCCCGGTGCCCCCCGCGGGGTACCCTCGGTTCTACACGGCGCTCCCCTTTTGTGTCTTGCTGCTAGGAAGGGACCTTGCGATCATCCTTCCATCCGCCGAGAAACGCTCCACCTACCCTTCATTCTCGACCGGGTCTTTCCCGTTTCAGAGAACCCCTCACATTGCTGCCCTCGAGAGACCCCCGCCGTGGATCTGACTGGGAATCCCTCTCCTTCTTTCGTCTCAGGAGACCTTCCCTTCACACAGCCTTCACCTCCGGAGGAGCCCTCAATTCACACAACCCCATTCTTCCTCAAACTCTCAGGGATTGGCACCTGGCTGCCTTTTGCGGAGCCGCAAAGGACTCTCAACCTCCCCCACCTCCGCCATCGGTTCTGGGGACCCCTCTCACCTCCGCGGTGAGAGATGTGTTTACTGAGGAATCGCTGCTTCTTTCTCTGATGCAGCAGGGTCGGGTATTTAAGCAACAAGAATGAGGTCACCAAGTACCCTCCTAGCGTAGACAGAAGGTAAAAAGCCGCAGTGGACGACATCTCAGTCACCGTGTGGGAAGTCTCCCACCTCCGGGCCCTCTGAACTCCGCTGCGGCAGTAGCAACGACGGCGGCGGCGGCGGCGGCTGCTCGAGGTCTGCTCGCCCCCAGCCGGTGCCAGTGGTGCAGCGCACTTGTCAGTGCCGGTCTAGTGCGCATGCGCAGCTGGACCCCAGCGCCCCAGCAACAAAGGGGCTCCGACGCGCAGGCGCGCTCCGGTTCTCGAGTAGGAGCCTGCAGAGATCCTGGAGTGAGCGTTTGTCACCTAGCTCTGTGGACCGACCCTCATGAAGAGAAAGCTTGCAAACCTGCCAGTGTGTTGGCCATCACTCAAGCAGAAAAGACTATTCACGGATAGCCTTTCCTAATTGGAAAATCCACATCAAAAAGGAAAGATTCCAGGGCGCGTCTTAGCCCCTAGTCTAGGAAATGCAAATAATTTTTACCTATGGAGGCAATAAAGCTTGCTAAAAACTAAAAACTAAATAAACTCATCCATTTATCTAGCCTAGAGAGAATTTCCCCTATGGTCACATATACTAGAAAAGGTACCGGTTTACCAGTCAACTATCTGAGAGATGGACCCCTCTCCTCTCATTTCATTGTGGAAGTGTAATCCTCATTCTTTGTACACAATAGGCACTGTAGAAGTATTTGCTGGCTTACAAGTCCGTATAAAATAAGGAAACTTTGTCAAGGTTATAAAGTATTACCTAAAAGTCCTAGAAAGACAGATAACTAAGTTCCAGAAGGCCCTACTAGTTTTCCTTTCACCAGACAAATTACAAACTGCTAACACACGAAGAGCCACACTTCAATGCAAAAGAAATAAATCATCCAGGACTGAGGGAGAAATTTTACGGAAAAGACCATGTCTCCCATAGGACTAGAAAAGCAGAGTGAGTATTTAAAATCCTGTGATTCAGTTGGGCGCGGTGGTTCACGCCTGTAATCCCAGCACTTAGGGAGGCTGGGAAAGGTGGATTGCTTGAGCCCGGGAGTTCGAGACCAGCCTGGGCAACATGACGAAACCCCATCTCTACGAAAAATAAAACAAAAATAAGCCCGGCGTGGTGGCGTGCACCTGTAGTCACGCTACTCGGGAGGCTGAAGTGGGAGTATTGCTTGAGCCTGGAAAATCGAGGCTGCAGTGAGCTATGACTGCACCACTGCACCCCAGCCTGGGCAACAGAGCAAGACCCTATCTCAACTATAAAAAGAAAATTAGAAGAAAACAGGGGGTGGCCGGGCACGGTGGCTCAAGCCTGTAATCCCAGCACTTTAGGAGGCTGAGGCGGGCAGATCATTTGAAGTCAGGGGTTCAAGACGAGCCTGGCCAACATGGCGAAACCCCATCTCTACTAAAAATACAAAAATTTGCCAGGGATGGTGGCACCCACCTGTAGTGCCAGCTACTCGGGAGGCTGAGGCAGGAGAATCTCTTGGACCCGGGAGGCAGAGGTTGCAGTGAGCGGAGATCGCACCACCGCACTCCAGCCTGGGCGACAGAGCAAGACTCCGTCTCAAAAAAAAAAAAAGAAAAAAGAAAATCCTTTAGTCGAGGTTGAAGTGAGCCTTGATGGTGCCACTGCACTCCAGTCTGGGCAACAGAGCAACATTTGAGGAAACTCACAGATTAAAAAATTGTGTCTTCTGTTTAGGGTTGTTAAACTATTTCCTGTAGATCAACTGAGGCACCTGGTTCTATTTTTCAAAATATCACCTGACGGCAATGGAAGGGTCTAGAATAAACCACTGTGGCATAAAAATTATTTTGAGGCTGGGCATGGTGGCTCATGCCTGCCTGTAGTCCCAGCACTTTGGGAGGCCGAGACAGGCAGATCACCTGAGGTCGGGAATTTAAGACCAGCCTGGCCAACGTGGTGAAACCCCGTATCTACTAAAAATACAAAAATAACCCAGGCATAGTGGTGCATGCCTGTAATCCCAGCTACTAGGGAGGCTGAGGCAGGAGAATGGCTTAAACCCGGGAGGTGGAGCTTACAGTGAGCAGAGAGCATGCCACTGCACCCCAGCCTGGGCGACAGAGCAAGACTCCGTCTCTAAAAAAAAAATTAAAAAAAAAATATAATATATATATATATCTTTTTTTGAGCTGAAGGCATTTAAATTCCTGGAATCCCTTATTTGCCTAAAATCAAAGGCTCCCAAAAGAACTTAACTGTCATAAATCTCCTCCCTGGGAACAACTCTAATCTTGTCAGAGATGAGAGAGAGACACTGTCACAAAAGTATGATATCACATGGGTATTCTCCTAAGGACACATTTATGTTTCCAAAAAATCATTTCTTTTCCAAAACATGCTTTCTCCCCAGCTTCTAAGAAGTCATTTGTTCTTCTGGAAGTACTTCTACCCCTTCCTACCCAGTAAATTTTAGATGATATATAAACCTCACATTCTAACTGCTTTTTTTTTTTTTTTTTTTTTTTTTGGTCTCTGTGAGACCACAGAGTCTCACTCTGTGGCCCAGGCTGGAGTTCAGCGGCGACATCTTGGCTCACTGCAACCTCTGCCTCCGCAGGGTTCAAGTGATTCTCCTGCTTTATATATATATAATATATATATTTAAATATATATATATATATATTTTTTTTTTTTGAAAAGGAGTTTCGCTCTTGTTGTCTAGGCTGGAGTGCAATGGCATGATCTCAGCTCACTGCAACCTCTGCCTCCCAGGTTCCAGCGATTCCTCTGCCTCAGCCTCCCGAATAGCTGGGATTACAGGCATGCACCACCTGGCCTGGCTAATTTTGTATTTTTAGTAGAGACGGGGTTTAGCCATGTTGGTCAAGCTGGTCTCGAACTCCTGACCTCAGGTGATCCACCTGCCTCAGACTCAAAGTGCTGGGATTACAGGCGTGAGCCACTGTGCCCCAATAATTTTGTATTTTTAGTAGAGATGGGGTTTCACCATGTTGTCTGGGCTGGTCTCGAACTCCTGACCTCAAGTGATCTGCCCACCTAGGCCTCCCAAAGTCCTGGGATTACAGGCTCATTCTCACATTTTCTAAGAAGACAGAACAACAGGAAAAGTATGAATTCAAAATCAGAGTTCTGAATTTTTTTTATTATTTTATATAATATTATTCTAATGAAGGTAAGAGAAGAAAGAGGAGCATTTATCCTTTTTTTTTTTTTTTTTTTTTCCTGAGATGGAATCTCACTCTGTCACCCAGGCTGGAGTGCAGTGGCAAGATCTCAGCTCACTGCAACCTCCGCCTCCCAGGTTCAAGTGATTCTCCTGCCTCAGCCTCCCGAGTAGCTGGGATCACAGGCACATGCCACCAGGCCTGGCTAATTTTTGTATTTTTAGTAGAGATGGGGTTTTACCATGTTGGTCAGGCTGGTCTCAATCTCCTGCCTTGGCCTCCCAAAGTGCTAGGATTACAGGCATGAGCCACCGCACCCAGCCTCTGTATATTTTTAAGTAAAAAAACAATGGCTTTAAATGTAGCAAGATGTGTTAAATACATATTTCCTATATATTGAGACTAAAATCTACAATTCTATTTGTCCAACATTTCAAAATTAGTGTGTCTATGGAAACATAATCAATTACACAAGAGTTTAGGTATGTTAACTTACTTTGTACTTACCTAATTGGTGATATATATCTAATTGGTGATAAAGCACAATATACCACTATATCTCCATCTGATTGGTGATAACTAGGTGGTGATTAAAATTAGATGGTGATATAGTGGCATATTGTCATGTTGATGCTGGTGAATTACCATAGATTGGTAAAATATTTTTACATTTTTTTTTTTTTTGAGAAGAAGCCTCACTCTGTCACCAGGCTGGACTGCAGTGGTGCCATCTCAGCTCACTGCAACCTCTGCCTCCCAGATTCAAGCGATTCTCCTGCCTCAGCCTCCCAAGTAGCTGGGACTACAGGGGTGTGCCACTACACCCGGCTAGGTTTTGTATTTTTAGTAGAGATGCGGTTTCACCATGTTGGCCAGGATGGTCTCGATCTCTTGACCTCGTGATCTGCTCGCCTTGGCCTCCCATAGTGCTGGGATTACAGGTATGAGCCACCGTGCCTGGCACAAGATTTTTTTTTTTGAGACAGGGTTTTGCTCTGTTGGGGTGGTATGATCACAGCTCACTGCAGCCTAGACCCACTGGTGTCAAGCCATCCTCCCACTTCAGCCTCCTGAGTAGCTGGGACTACAGGCATGCACCACCACATCTATATTTTCTTTTTTTTTTTTGTAGAAACAAGGTCTCACTATGTCTTCCAGGCTGGTCTTAAGGGATCCTCCTGCCGCCTAAGCCTCCCAAAGTGCTGCAATTAAAGGCACGAGCCATTCTGCCCAGACTGATAAGATTTGGATCACTTAGCAAATTGTTTCACAGTACAGGAATTTTAAAAGAATAGTCTGCATTGACCGGGCAAGGTGGCTTACACCTGTAATCCCAACACTTTGGGAGGCCAAGGCAGGTGGATCACCTGAGGTCAGGAGTTCAAAAACAGCCTGGGCAACATGGCGAAATCCTGTCTCTATTAAAAATGCAAAAATTAGCTAGGCGTCGTGGCATGCGCCTGTAATCCCAGCTACTCAGGAGGCTGAGGCAGGAGAATCACTTGAACCCAGGAGGCGGAGGTTGCAGTGAGCCAAGATCACGCTATTGCACTCCAGCCTGGGTGACAGAGTGACGCTCCGTCTCAAAAAAAAAAAAAAGAAAAATAAAAAAGAAAAAAAGAATAATCCACATTAATATACTGGATTAAAAAGTTTAGTTCAGATAATATTCATTTAAAATATGATATCTCATCAGGCCAAGATAAGAACAAAACAGTTTAAAGTACCAGAATTGTGAGTCAACCAACTGTGCTTTTTTTGGAATTAAGTCAAATATCTTCATATTATTACCAGATAACCTAATCTCCCAACTTGTTTCGAAGATAATTTCAAGACTAGCATCTTTTTTTTTTTTTTTTTTTTTTTGAGACGGAGTCATGCTCTGTCGCCCAGGCTGGAGTGCAGTGGCTGGATCTCAGCTCACTGCAAGCTCCGCCTCCCGGGTTCACGCCATTCTCCTGCCTCAGCCTCCCAAGTAGCTGGGACTACAGGCGCCCGCCACTTCGCCCAGCTAGTTTTTTGTATTTTT